CAGAGAGACAGAGAGAGAGCACATGAGAAAGAATGAAGGAAAAAATGGGTGGGTGGATGGACAGAGGTCACAGCTACGCCAGCTCTAGGTGCTCCATTTACATCTCTGCACTTTTTATATATTTGCTTGTAAAAGAGATACAAGGTGAAGCCCCTCTTCCTCTGCCCAGCTCCATGCTTTGATGCAGGGCTGTGAGCTCCCCTCACCCAGGTCACCTTGCAGTCCTGGGTCTCCGGTCGGTGCTGGGGACCAGCAGCACCCGTGCACATCACGAATCCCCCACAGAGAGCCCCTGGCCGTGCAGTGCCCCACATCCTCCTCACAGCCCAGTGCCACCACAAGGCTGTCCTGGGAGGGTGCTGGGGCAGAGTGGGCCCCACGTGTGGCCTCCACCCTGCCTGGAGCCATGGCCACTGGCGGGTCCCAAGGACGCCCCGGTGCCAGCCCCCCCCCCGGCCCTGCCACTGGTCAGAGCCCACCACGGAGGGGACAGCACACAAGGAGAAGGCACCCAAGCTGGCAGTGGGGACGCCCTTGCCACGCGCTGCCTTGTACCAAGCCCACCAGGACCCCAGCACCACGGAGCACCCACTGCACCACATCCACACCCCTCACATGGCACTGGGGGGCTCTGCATGTCCTGGCACCCCCAATTCCAGCCCCTAAGGTGGTCCCACTTGTGGTCCCACTGTGAAGTTTCACACTTGCTGTCTCCCACCACAAAGCCAGCAGACAGAAGGCCAGGAGGGGAGGACGGGTGTGGAGGACACCAGCATGCCACTGTGCATCCCTCCACCCGGGTCCCAGCTGGTGACAGCACCATAGGGCACCTCTGCACAGGCGTCTGGTCCTGCTCTGCTGAGGACATCCCTTGGGCAAGAGCTGCAGCGGGCACTGCCCCAACTGCAGCCCTGCTGGTACCAGGGTGAGGAAAGCCCGGCCTCATGGGCCAACAAAGCCACAGCCCAACTCTCAGGTGCCCCCGAAACACAGCCCTCTGGAGGAGGATGAGAAGTTCACCTCATACAGTGCCTGGGCACAAGGGGAGATCCGTACGAGCAGTGAGAAAGCAGTCAGCTCTTTACAAATCTTAGAGACAACGGCCTGGCCAAAGGCTCCCTCCCTCCACTCCAAGTCCCCACCACGTAATTTCCACCACGATGCCCCAGAGCAGACCCAGAGCCCCGAAAACGAACAACCTCATCCCCTCCATAACAGAAGCAGCAGAACAAACCTCGCCGGCCTTTTCTGGGGTTCCCTTTGGTGTTTCATCCTCATGTTTGGGTGAGGAAGAGGCTGGTGAGGAAGGAAGCCTCCTGTCCCGGTCCCTGTGAACCAGTTTGCTGTTGGGCTCCTTCAGGGTCCGCTTCAGCTCGTTGATGCTGGCCTGATGCTTCAGCAAAACATCTTCTGGCTTGTCTAAAAACTTGGGGAAGGAGAGAGGAAGAGAACCATGATTAAAGCACCAGGCAAAGCGAAAGAGATGAGCAAGGGCACTGGGAGGCTTTGCTTCACGCTGGGCTTGAATTTCGGGTCTCAAAAGCCAAAAGAAGAGCGTGTCAAAGCACTTGGGTCTGCAGTTCTCACTAAGATCATTGCAAGGAGCAGCAAAAAGGCAGCACTCGGCTGAAGGCACGTGGAAGGCTCCTCTCTGTGACCGGCACAGCCTGCTGAGGGCAAGCTAAGCCACGTGGAGAAACAGGGTGGGCTCTTCCCTGGGATCCACAAGGGACCGGGCCAGATCGGAAACACTGTCAGCCTCCTCTGCCACTCCCTCGCACCAGGCACAAAGAGAGGCTGAGATCCCACCCCAGCAGGGCAGGAAACCGCTGTTTCCAACAGAAAATGAAGCCAAATGGGCTTCTACTGAAGGGCAGGAGCTCAAGAGCATCACGGTAAGAGATGCCCAGCATGGATCCAAGCCTGGAGCACCATGGACCAACCAGGGGTAGGGGGGTCAGGCCTGCTGTGGAGAGAGGACGGCTCAGAGTGCTCAAGCACAAGGCAGGGTTTAGGCGTTCGATCGTTGTGTGGTGACGGTGCAGGCACCTGGGTGGCTCCCCTCGTCCTGCCGCAGAGGTGGGCAAACTGGCTCAGGGCAAAAACCAGCAGAAGCAAGAAACCCCAGCTGCTCCTTCCAATTCCAACTCAAACCTCTTCCGAGGTTCGAAGAGTCACCTCAAACACCTCCCTGCTGTTCCGCCACAGCCTAGAGACCCAGGAGAGTCCTGTGAAAAACTACCGAATTTTCCAGATCCTGGAGGCTTGGCACCACTCATGAAAAATCTCCCCCTCAAGCCATGGGTGCCCAAGCCAGGAGCTTTGTGGTTTGCCCACCTCTGGGCTCAGGGTGCGCCGGGGGAGCAGCACATGCACATGCAGCAGAGGAAGCAATGGGGTGGGCAAGGGAGGGACTGGCACCGGTGCCCACCACCCCTGCGGGGTCTGCCGTGCAGTGCCCAGCAGGACAGGGAGGGCTGCGCGATGCCAGCATGGTAAATCCCATCGCCTGCCTGCGGCTGCCCCAGCAAGGATCGACGTCCCACTGCGAGCGGAGGGGAAATCCCCGGGGGGCAGCTGCGGATTTTTGGCAGGGGTGAATTGTTCCTGATGGGGTGGTCACCGCGGAACCAGGAGTTTGCGCATGGGAGGGCACAGCCTCCCTCTTCTCTGTGTCCGCCTGCTCTCAGGCTGGGCAGATGCAGGCAGCTGCCTGCTAGCACAGTGGGTGGGTGTCAGCGCCTGCCCCCCTGCACAGCTGAGCGGGCGCTGAAGGCAGCTCTGAGCCCCGTTTTCCCCCAGCAAGGTGGGATGGCAGGCGCAGCGCTGCAAGGGGCTCCAGCCTGGCTCTCTGTGGGAGCGGGGGACTGAGGGGACAGGGGCAGCTCAGGTCAGGCAAAAGCAGAGCGTGGGACGGGAACAATGGGACCAGCGTCCACGGGAGAGCCAAGGCCACGGGGCTGGACGGAGAGGAGACACGAGGCGAGGACATGGCAGGGTCAGTAACACGAGGAGAAGCCAGGTCTTCCCAATGGGCCAAGGACTGGGCGGGGGGGCCTGGCCGTTGCGCCTTGGGAGGGCTCTTGCTCGCACGTACGATTAGGACGACCTTACTTAGTGGGATAGAAGATGCCGTGTGCGCGCTGGGGCAGAACCCCAGTCCTCTGCTCATCGGGCTTCTCTAGCAATCAACCCCCCTGCCCTGGTGCATCTTGTATTCCAGTAAATAGGGTGACACACAGTGTTGCTTTGGGAAGGATGGACAATATGATGCACCGATGAGGACTACAATACTCCAGAGAGAGAATACCTCCTGCTTGTGCCTGGGAGTTGTTTCATGCTCCGGCTGGCAGCAAAGAGAGGGTTAAAAGTAACCAGCAGGGTCAGTGAGGGAACTGCCACAAACATCCCAGTTCAGCTGAGGGACTGGTAGGGCAGAAGGATCGGCCTCCCCCTCCCCTCACAGTGAAATGGGCTGGAGTGTCCCTGGGCCAGCCCGGGGCCAGGGCAGGGAGTGTGTGGGCTGTGCCCGGGCAGTGGTGGGCACCAGTGTGCCTGGCCTGTCCCTGTCCCCACTGGGGCTGCTCCCAGGACCAGCCTGCTCTCAGACCAACCTTGAGAGCACTGGGAGAGCGCTGGGGAATCCGAGCTGAGCAGA